GCACAGACAGGAGCAGTTCTCTCTGTGCCCAGGATGAGGTGACCCTTCCAGAACACGGCCACACAGCCTGGAAGACCCACACCAGCCATCGTATGCCGGCCGTGAAAGCCTTCGACAATACAACAAACAGCATGGATGTTTTATTAGATGTCCATGAAGTCACCAGGAATTGGGTTTGCTGTTAGCAAGAAGGAAGTTAGAGCAGTAGTTTCAGAACCTTCCCAACGTTTAGGCACTGCTTTTAAAACAAGTGGCTCCACAAATTTATCCTGAGGTGGTGGTGGTCTTTTTTATAGTTTTTAATAGTGCATTCTGCCTTAAAATTTAGGCACAAGTTTATGAAATCCTAGATGTGTCAATGGTGTCTTTTGTCCTTGCTGCATTCTCCAAGCCCCAGTATTTTCTAGCTTCAGATGAATGAAGGGTTTCTTATCTTCTACCATTGTCTGAGATCTAATAAAGGACTTAAGGCAGATATGTGAGGTGTTTTTCAAACTGTTCTTGCTAAAATGTTTTGTTTGAATATCAGTGTCTGAGTGGATTCTATTTGTACAGGTAACAGAAGTGCACTGTTTGCTATTTTTCCAGTCTGGGTTACACAGATTGTGGTTCTGTATGTTTGCCTTAAGCTCTTTTCAAGGAAAAGCTGTCTTGTGCAAAGTTCCTCCCCCACCCCCATCCCCTTTATGGCTGAAGTTGTAGTTTGAGGGTATGTTTGGAGCAGCACAGTATCAATGATTGTCCGGGGTTATAAATGTACGTTAAGATGGGAATGTGTTCTGAAGAAAGAGTCTGAAAAACCAGCGGGTGTCTAATGAAACTGACAAGTGGCATGGAAGAGTAAACGAAGCTGGTTTCCTTTCTCTGTGATCACATGTAATGGGCATCTCTAGTTACATGGGAAATCAACATGCCAGAAATAAATTACGATCCCTATTTTATACAGGACACTGTTATGAAAGCGCAGTTTGAAATTCAGGCAATTCTTTGTCTTTAATCTTGAGAGAATTTTTTATTCCAATGAATAAACATTGCTTGGCTCATGGATGCATATCTGCTATCAGGAATGATATAGTCTGGAAAGGACTTTCTCGCTCCATCTGTTGTAGGTTTGACTTGGATCTTCAAAATCATCAGTGTGACAAAGAACTGGATTTAGAGTCCTGGACTTATACTGTACGCTACTTGACTTGTATTCAGAATGTGAGATAGCAAGAGTTTGTTTCAAATTCTCCTCTAGCTACAGAGCTCCCTAGTTTCACCCTGTTGTGGGTCCTTTTCAGCTGAACCTGTCTTTGCAGGGTTGGTTGCTAGATTAAAAATGGGATCTTTGCAGGTACTGGCTTTTTAAGTTATTTAATCTGTAACAGCAACCAACAACAGTTGGATATTGTAATCTATAATATAATCTATAATATAACGTGTATACAACAGAAATATTATAGTTTAGAGAAGAGGCAAATTTTTCTGGCTCCAGTTTTAAGTATAGCCTCCTTCAAGTCAAGCATGTAGTTTTCTTGGCTAAGTGGTTTACCATGCCTTCTTGGATTTTTTTTTCCCTAATATCATCTGTGGCTTCCCATCCTGGTACCAGCCAGGGCTGATCCTGCTTAACTATTTAATATCAGCATGTGCTGCCACATATATTCATTTGTACATGTTGCAAAAATGGCTGTAATTCCTGCTTGTAATGAGCAGTGACCACCAATGGTTATCTTCATCTTTATTTATGGAACCAGAGAGACAATTCCAAACTATTGGAATAGGATCAAAGTATATAATTAGCGGCACCGGGATTTGCATCCACATTGGCTGTGACTTACCTCCATTATGTTCCAGAGCAAAATCCAAAGTGGGATTTTTACTATTTCATATCATCATTCTCCATGTTCACACTTACCATGTAGACATTGTGGGAGGAGAGCCATGTTAGTTTTGGTAGCAAAAAAACAGAAGGAATCTGGTAGCACCTTTCCTGACCAACAGATTTCATTAAAAGGCATGTATTTTCATGAGCTGCAGCTGACTTCATCAGATGCATAGAGCGGCTAGACTGATGTAGGATTTAAATTGGGATGAGGTAGGGGGAAGGGAGGAGAAGACAGGCTGGTTGTGCAGATACAAGTTACATGTGAGCCAGATTACAGTTTAAATCCCACATCAGTCTACCTGCTCTACACATCCGACGAAGTGAGTTGCAGCTCACTAAAGCTTATGCGTTTAAATAAAATGTGTTAGTCAGAAAGGGCTCTACCAGACTCCTGATTTTCTACTTCCATGTGTTTGAGTGGAGAGCCCAGCTGTCCCAGAGTAACTCAGAATGCAAACACCAGGTGTGCACTGAGAAAAATGAAAGGGCGGTTGCAAAACAACGCAGCACGCAATGCAAATGAATCCCATGCCAGACAGAAGCAAGGAGCCAACTCTAAATTTTAATATGCCCTTCGGAAGAAATTCTCTTGTGTAGAACTCTCTTTACGGCAGGGTTTCCCAAACTCTGAGGGTTACTTCCCTTGGGGAGGTGCAGACAGAGTCCAGGGGAGGTGTGAAGAACCTTTTACTTACATTGTTACCATAAACCCACCTTTCCCTTTGTATTGTTTTCATTGTTTATTTGGGTGTTTGGATTTTTAGAGGAGGTGTGTACATTAAGATTACGCTAAAGGGAAGTGTGATGGTAAAAAGTTTAGGAACCCCTGCTTTAGAGAGACCCTGTAGGGGTAGGGATAGGCATTTGCATTCTAAAATGCTGTAGAATTTGTCGCAGGAGCTGCTAGTGTCCAGAGGAGCCACCTGGTGGGAATGACTCCACCCAAGATCTGCCTGCATTGTTTTTGAGGACGTTGGAATCTTCTAGGGGTACAGATGGAGCATCTACTCGTTTTATCTTCACATCAGCCTGGTGAGGTAGATTGGTTTGAGAGAAAGGGACCGATGAAGGTCATTTCCTGATGTCCAGATTCACATGGGGACTTTAATTTGGGTCACCTTAGCCCACTTAGCTCAGCATTAACCATTACATCATATTAACTGTGATAGTTGTTACAGGCAAAGTTTCTGAACATATATAGAGTGGAGTTCCCACAGTGTAAACATCTAAAATGTGGAGGCATGAACTTGAAGGCAAGGGATATCCTAGGGCTTGTGATTTTTAAAGAAAATGATCTCTCCTGGGAGAGGCCAAATAATTAATATAATATTGTACCCTAATATTAAGCATTCTTTAAGGTCCTCCCTTTCCACAAGGAAGCTAAACAGAGTGCTCAAATCTCTCCCACTGAATTCAGTGGTGCTTGAAATCCAGCCCAACATAAGCATTTGTGACATGCCTAGTATTTCCTTTGGGTGAGAGAAAGCTATAAATAAGTAAGTCGTTGCCTGTGGAACACATTTCCATGGGGACATTGAGAAGGCCAACAGCACATATTTGGAGTACTTTTATGGAAGTGTTTGGTAGCAACATCAGGCTGCTTGTTGTTTGAACCTGTTGCCAGCTTAGGAGATGGGTTTCCAACACCCCCCTCATAATTTTCCGTTGGTGAACTTCTTGTGCAATCTATAGCTAGCTAATGGCCTGTTGATCTGCTGAGTCTTTGTTTGCCTTCACTTGCAGCTGTCCCTACTCCACTATGCTCAGCAAACACATTTCTGCCGAGGCAGAAGAAACAGGGGAATTGCTGCTTCATTAGGCGTGTGGATAGACTATGCCCAACAGGCTATTGTAG